CTGATATCTTCAGGCTGCTGTACTCTCCGGCCCAAGATGAAGTCCACCTTCATAGGAAAAGAACAGACAGCTTGGTGGGAAGTTTCTCCTCTGGGCTCATGTTTGGTACATGCCAGGCACGCACACACCCATCGTACATTCAAAACGGACATTAGATGCGCATGGTTAACGTATCCTTGACCAAATGTGCATGAACTCACGTACACATTTAGTGAATTCCCCCTAACCGACCACTGTTGCTATGCAAAATCATCTCTCGTGGGAGCAGATAGTCACTGAAGGATTTAAATACGAACAGAAGGCCTTCAGATTGAAGACGACGCAATTAACCATGGATATTGAGAATCAAACTCAGGGGATATTTTTAGCAGGCAATTCTTTTGTCTCAGTAGCAGGAGCAGTACACGGTATGCATATTAGAGTGGTTGGATTGAGGCCCCTCGGCTTTCTCTTGCTGAGTGAATTTAATTTCCCCAATCCAGTTGGCCTCGATCTCTCCACAGAGACAACAGGTTTAGAGCTGATTTAGACTGCTATGCTTGATTTATTTGCCACAGATTTTATAGGGTCAGTGCTCCTGTGAGTCAGTGGAACAGATTTTTGTTTTTGGAACCCCTGAAGAAAATCTGGGACAGGGCATTTTTCCAGTATTGATTCTTTTTGGTTATGAAATCAGCTTCACGAGATTTCAAGAGAAGAATAAAATGCTCAGTTTTTAGAAATACTGGTTGGTCGAAAATCTCAAAATGATATTTTCTGGAAGAGCCTGTAGAATGTGGTATGTAGCCCAATCCAAATGTTGGCCTGCATTGGATTGGAACCTGGGCCATAGTGATGGACAGCAAGGAAGGTATGGTGAAAATGCACATAATTAAGATAATTTCTGAGGTGCCAGAAGGCCACTGCAGTACTTGAGTTTTTTCTTTCGGATTAGACCCAGGATAATGCCTGTTGCCCTCAATTCACTATCTTTTGGCTTGTCCAAAGTTTGTAATTTGGCCATGGCTTTTAGTCACATGTACGGGTACAATACTTGTCCTTGTTTGAAGAAAAATTCCCTCCTGTGTCATTTTAGAGTTGTCTACACTGTGAGTTATTAAACCAAGTCCCCTCAGCTTCAGCTGGCGTGTGTTCCCTCTGTATGAAATCTTTAAATGTGGCATGCTGTTGGCCAAATCGCGACGTAATCTAACCAGTTGTTGAAGGAAAGATGGGGAAAGAAATTCACAAGAAATTGATAGCCCAGGGCCAGAGACTGAACAGGAATTCTAAGTGGAAGGTTTCCTGCTTGCTAATGATTTTTAGACAGTAGACTTTATCTGTAGGAAAGTGCATGTCTGCTAAGACAAACAACCGTGCAACAGCATTGCTATGGAATGAATGTAACAGCTACTATTGTAGATGATCACGGATCAAGACATTGAAAATTCCTAAACCTGTTAGTGTTGTCCAGCTCAAGTGTGGTGATTGCATTTACATCCACAATATCTGAGTCAGGTCAGGAGTTTCAAGAAAACCTGATAAATTGTTATTTCCCACAGCGTGGTTCTAAAGCTTGTGGGCGTTTCCAGACCACAGTTCTAGAAAGTGGAGGAAATTGTTATGTGTTCGTCACCATGCCATTGTGCGGGAACAGCATTTTCTTGACTGTGTATATATTCACATTTAATGTCAAGAATTGGTTGCTGAATTTGAATATTCAAATGCAAAATCCATGAAAAGGAAGGGAGAATTTTCTTTGGTTTTATATGAGAAAAAAATCGCACTATTGAGGCTTGTTTCAAGCAGATTCAAATGAAAAGCGCCAGAATAATGTATCTTGCTGCTATTCAAAAAGTAAATTATACATTAAAAAATTAAAAGGAATAGATTGTTAACAGGGCAAAAAGTATTGTTTGTCTGTTAAATCTTGCTAAATCGTGGCTGGAGATACTCTTAGATGTGAGAAGTTATTATACTGATTATAACGTACAATTGTGTGCGTAATTTGACTGATTTTGGATATGGTTTGCTCATCAGCAATCTGCCAGTTGGTACGACCATTGGATATTCGATCAAATTGTAGGTCATATATTTGAACAGTGAATTATTCCTAGATTGGCCACCTGAACAAAATACTGATAGGATAAACCTATGCAGGACTTGGGAGAACTTGACGGAATGCATGTAACCCCTCTGACTTCCAGAAGTGGATTATATGTACAGTAATGAGATCATAAAAACATAGTAATAACCAACTATAAAATGAGACTGAATACAATTTTTTTTGGGGGGGGAGATTGGAAGTGGAGAATCACATGTTTACTTCAAGATGATATTCCTTTGTCTTATGGAAGGTTAAGTGGACAGTTTTTGAAAATTTTAGGAGACTCATAGGATGACAGTAGCACAGTGCATACTGCCTGGAAATCTCTCTTTTCTTCCAGGGACATAACCAGAGCTTTCCTACCGGTAACTTGCCCATTGCTGAATTGAGGTTTTGTCATATTCAAACCCTTTTCATTATCCTGAGTTGGCTTCGAGCAACGTCCAAATGAAGCTTTTAGAATCTCTGTGCTGTTGCAGTTTGCCACCTTGCACCAAGACCAACCAAGCTGAGCCACCTAAAACGCCTGGTGCACCAGTCTACTCAATCCAAACCTGATCAAACTCGCCTAAAATAGTGTTGTAAAGTGGTTTGCCCGTGTTCCGTAAATCACGAGCCCTCAGTAAGAACGGTGCACTGAATCTGCTAAAGCCCCGGCTAGCTTAGTAAAAGCCGCCATCACCTCTGACATTATACACTGCCGCAGTGCAGCCGGGGAAAACCATCGGGTGATGTTGCCCATCCTCATCATTGGGGCGGGAGGGCACATGAGGATGAGAAAGGAAACAAGAAAGAAGGGACCACAGAGGACTTGTCTCGTGGAAGCGATCTGCTCTCATACATGTCAGAAGTGAAATAATTTTGGAGATTGTTTAAATAGCCGGGGGGGGGGACACAATTGTCCGAGTCGCCAGGAATGCAGGGGAGGATACAGACCCTGGAGATTCTGGAAATTCAGCCGGCTGTCACCTGTGGCCCACTTTTTTATTAAATGGTGAATCGTTTATACATGCAGAATTTGTATGTGTAATGTATATTGCAGTGAGAATATTGTTTTTGTGCCTGTGTAGTCGGCTTGCTGACTTCACGTTCCTCTAAGTGCAAACCGTCTATGGAGCCGCGGTTTATGGTTTTTGTAAAATATTTTTTTATCACTATCAGGTGGTCATTTTAATGCGGAAATTTAAGGTGGAAGAAAGAATGGCGATGTTTTAAATATTCTGTTGTGTTTAATAAACTGGATGGACTTTGTTCAATGGTTATTAATAAAATAAAACATAAAAACCCATGTAAAATGGTTTTGTTTGCTGGTTAAATGTCAGTTTCCAAGTGGAAGATGTTTGTACATTGTATGTTCAACCTTTAATTGAGAATTTTTTTTCTCTTTACAATAAGTTTAATAATTCAAGACCAAAATGTCTAAATGTAGAATTGAGATTTCAGAAACGTCTTTATATATATATACATGTACATGTGTATGGTTTGCGAGTCGGTCTATTTCAAACCGTGTTTTGCTGATAAGCATGCTGTGCACTGATTGAATTTTGTTCCTTACATGTGCCACCAAAAAATCAAGTTTCCCACAAGTTATGCCATCGAAAAGATACTTTTCTGTCAATAATTAGCTGTTGGAGTGATAATCAGTTCTGCAGCGAAAGCGATTGGTGTTGAGGGAAATTTCTACTGCACCAAGCAGACCACATACTTGTTCCATCAGGCAAACAACCTTGCCCTTAACTGCAGAGAATTACACGACAGGGGGGGGATCTCTTCACACATTCAAACTTGTTTCATTTACCTCAGTGTTTGCTCTGCCACTGTGCTGGTAATGACTATTTACCTATCTAATGGAGAGCGCACAATGAGCTGGGCCCTCATTTATGTGTGTCAACATCCCTGGCAGACAGCTGTAATCATCAGTTGGTTTGGGTGTAATTGCTACCACAATGGGTAATTGCTCACCAGTCAATACGGGCCATTCACAGAAGAGTGCCTCCAAGAGTCTGCAACGCGTTGACCAATGATAATCACAACGTGCAAAATCTGTCGACCCTTTCCAAAGGCGCATTGTGTCGACATATTTCGCACACTGTGATTGGTCAACGTGTTGCAAACTCTTAGAGGCGCTCTTTTGTGAAAGGCTTGTATTGTGACGCTCCTATAGATACATGTACATTTGGCTACTTCCATGCTCTCACATTGATACTCTTTTATTTCCCCACCCCCCCTGACAGTGACCCTCATTCTCTTCTTGTTGATCAATATACATGTACACATGTACGAATCCATGTATAAATATGGGGCCAGTGGTGGAAAGCACTGTCGTATTATCTCACAAAAATACATGTTTTTCCCTCTGCCCTCCAAAACAGTGCACTATATTAGCATATTCTCCTTCTGTTGTGTAATAGTCCAAAGATTTTTGGTAATATATCAAATAGGATAATAGGATAATGCTATCACTGGTCCTTTGCAGTACGCCCCGCCAATGGGGGATAACACTGTCAGAACTGTTGTACATGTATGTGGCTGCCATCTGTACAAAACCCCACAGAATGATTTTCACTGCTCTCATGGTGCCAGGGGAAGGTACGGTGAAATGTTGCTGGATTTGTCTATGGAGAGAGCAGGGAGAATGCCTAGATCCCTCTCGCGATGAAATAATATCTATTGAAACTGATTTTCAGCATTTTCATATGTTGAAATTGCAGAAATACAAATCATAATAGCATCTTTTTTGTTTCTGAATTTTTCAACTGAAATTCAAATTTTACTGCTGAATCTGAACGACACGGAGATGAGCTTGTATATCATGCAAAGGCAGTAAGTTTTCAAGACAAAAATCTTGCGTTCTTTCTGTCCTTTGTTAGTCTGTGCATTAATCTTTAACTCGTTCATCTCCCTGAATCTGCAGGATGCCCAGACAAATGGTCTAGGGAACATCAGGTATCAGACGATCGAAGACGCCAACCGGGCCTTAAGAATAAAGTGTGCCAAACTTGAGAAGTTTCGAGAGGAAAACACTCTTTCGGTAAGTCACAAATTTTTAGAATCTTGTGTACATTAAGAAAAAGACCAAGACCCAAAACGGGAGGGAACCTGTACTGAAATCACGGGATTGTTTCATGGCTTTGGCCTTTGCTTTGGCGTGGCAATGGTACGCAAATGAAAGGGTACCTGATTTGAAGGGTACCTGCGTACCTGATTTGGACAAAGTGCTACCTGTTTAAAGGAACCAGGAAATAGAAATATTTTTATAAATTTTACTAAACACCCTTGAAATTGCATCTTGTTTTTCAATTAATCTGATTTGAAAGTTTTGTTTTGCTATTTTAACCCATATTTTAATTTTTTTTGAGTTTTTTATGCTAATGCAGATTTGCATATTCATGAACAGAACTATGACGTCAGACAGACACTGAAACTCAATGTTGCACTGATTTGTGCATGGACAATTTCTGGATTTTTTTAATCACTGCTATGGCAGATTTATTTTCTTGGGCAATTTATTGCTGTGTTAGTATATGGCAAATCCAGCAGAAGTCCTTTTCACAGAAATGTTCCCAGATAGCAAATTTGGGGTTCACAATTTGAACACGGAAATGTACAACCTGAACCATGTCTTCCTGGATTTACATCAAAGCAAAAGTGCCCTCACTTGTCCAGGAATGCTTGGCCAATTTTTAATGTTTGAAAAAGTGCACCGTTCAGTTCACATAACTCAAAAAAGTTGTCAAACAGTCTTCATACACAGAAGAAGAGTACAGAGATACACAAAAAGTGATTCTAAGAAAAATTCATTTCCTGGATCCTTTAAATAACGATAATCCCTTTTCAATTTCCACCTTGAATACAAGATCAGTATCAGAGTGGCATTTCTATCCATTATGCTGTCCGTGATTCAAACCCCTGTGACAGCATTTTTTGTTGTTGATATGGTGATTTTCCTAACTCGAGAGGACTTGTACCATATTCTGCTTTTTGTGGAAGTCAACAGAATATTGAAGCGTTGTGGATTGTCGGTTTCTTTTAACTGGTCTTTTTCAATGACAAACTTCATATTTTGTGAAGGATACTATTGGGGCACACTTCCTTGGGCGGCCTGCAACATGATCAGCATGTCAGCTAATGTCTCATGAAAACAGGTTATAAATATAAATGCATGAAGGTATACCTTTGATCAGTGAATCACTGAGCAGCAAACTGCTTCAGGCATCTTTGGGCTACGAGATTTAGCTCAGCTGTGCATGTTGAATGTAAAGCCAATGTGTCCTCACCTTTTCCATCTTTTTGTCAGATTCCATTAATTCTCAGCAGAGGGCCTCCTTTATCCTCGTGCATTACTGGTTACAGCTTTGTCAGCCAGCTGTGGCTGTTACTATGGCAACCTCCAGGTTGCTTGGAGGTTGCCGTAGTAATCATTACTGTTTTTGAAATTATGACTCCAATGAAAATGACTCAGGGGACCTTTTGGAGTCATTGTAGACCCACACGAAGGTCCCCCCCCCAACACGTGAGGGATAATGATATTGATGGACACCTGTGCCCATCATTGACCACTGGTTGAAAGTCTCAAGTGAGGGCTCACCGCCAAATTGCATTCCAGCTGCTGTCCCGGAGAGAATGAACCTTCTATAGTTACAGTCTCCAAGAGAGGGCTCCCTTTACATTTGTGGGCTGCTCAGTAGGTCCTCAGAACTGACTTCTGAGTATTTGTGAAAGGCAAGCAATGCAGTGCTGGAAAGGGTGAGGGCTCCCTTCAAGATGCACTTGCACGACCATCCTTGCAGCACTTTTTACATGCATGTACATACCAGTATAGTCCTGTACCTGTATGTCTGTAATGTGAGCATTCGTTTTTCTTGTACTGTCCGTGCCTTGCTCTTTTGGAGCTCAAATCTACTGTACCAAGCGAGGGCTCACTACATGCATATTGTCTCTGTACCGATATGTGTGTAATATGAGCATTGGTTTTTCCCGTGTAATCCATGTCTTGCTGTTTTAGGGCTCAAATCTAGAGTAACAAGAGAGGGCTTACTTCATAGTTGGTCTGTTGTCACACCGCTGATTAATTTTTGTGTCGTGGGAGACACCTGCAGTGTTATTGATTGAGACTATATGAAAAACCATGAAGTTCATCAATGAATGTACACTGCTCCGAATTGTAGAGAATAAAGACAAACATTTAGAGGCAACTGGGTTGATGGGAACATACGTAGCGTGGGTGCATTAGCTCAGCTGGTTTAGTGATATAAATTTTGTGGAGACCTGTGGAAAAGAACCCCAAAAATGGATGTTTTCTTGGTGGGGCCTCTTCTAGAATGGGACAGAACGGGATTACCGGTAGGATTTCAGTTTTTTAAAACTGTTTTATTCTTAATGTTGGTCTTCTTCTTTTCTTTATATCTTGATTCATCGTAACAAATTTGAAATCAAAAGTCTGCGTCGACTGTTAATTTTTTATTGGCATTTTGGTAATGAGTTTTTTTTTTTCAAGATAAGTGCTGGACATCGTGTTATTCACTTCGTATTTTTGCTGGCGGTATCCTGCAAGTAGAGGATCATGTTCGTAGGTGTTGAACTGGAGGTATTATAAAGACTCACAGAGATTGTGTGCATCTCTTTTTTCCTACGTAATCATTTGATTCAGCCATCTCTCTTTGTCTGTTCTGCCTTAATGACCAACACACTGTCAGTTCCAGTTTTTCTGGAAGCAGACATGGCAAGTCTCGTCTTCGGCTCCCCCCCCGTGAGAAATTGTCGTAGACCTGCACGATTTGACGCACTGTTGGAATGTGTGGCGTGGTTCATTTCATAATTACACACTCTGCGTATTGATCAGTGAAGCGCCCATCCTTGAACGACATTTTGCTCAGGATGGCATGAACAAACGGTATAAAAAAAAATCAATACCCATTAAAATAGGTGATGAGTTTTGTTTGGCAGCGCGTAGACATCGTGTAATTTAAATGGCCAGCCAAGAATAAATAACAACTGCATATTGTCTTTGGAGTTAAAGCAATGTTTCCAGGAGTTGGACTCCAGAGTTTGAATTCAGTTTTTGTCTTTCTCCTAGGCAGTCTTTCACTGTCTTTTTCTTTTTCCTGCCTGTGTATTTATTCTAAGATTTAATGTCATTTGTGGTGTAATTTGTTTTTTTTTAAATGTGTGCCTGAGTAAACTTTTATTATTATTACCACTTGAACATTAGAAGACTGTGAAAAAAGAAGTATATTCCGATGATTTTGATTGGCTAACTGCGCAGGGCTTGCAGTGGCAAGCATAGCTTCACAGAACCTCTACTTAGCAATTTAAAACAAACAAAAACAAGCAAGGGAGATGCCATTGTTGCAGTGGCGCACACGTAATGCACTTCTTTTTTTTACAGTGGGTGAAAACTTGGAATTGTGAAACATTGTGATTTACATGTGAACATGGGGGATTTCTCTGACCTCAACTACATCTTTATCTTTGGTGTCAGGTTTGAACGAGCCACGCTCCCAGTATACCTTCCGAATTAAAGGAACATTAAACCATACGGCAGTGTAGGTACATGACATGTAGGAATCATGTAGGAAGTTTCACACATTCCAAATAAACATCAGAGGCAAATAAGTGATTCTGAGGTCATAGCTGAATTAAGCTAAAGGATCTGTATGAAACAGGCCTGGCTTGAGACAGGACCACGATCTGTGCTCTGCTGTGCAAGCTTTTCAGGGTTCTCAAACTGGTGAAGGCATCCTATCTCCACACATGTACATGCACCTGCAGGCAGGAGAATTCATTGCATTCCATTTGTTGAAAATGAGAAAATATAGTCTGTAGCAAAATGCCTACATGTATATTTTCAGCCAGACATTTTAGGTTGACTTAAATGGATCAATCCACCTTGCATATTATCTACATAAACATTACTTGTACATGGACATGTATTCAGTTTAGCCTTCTGCACTGCAGATAGCCTAAGTCGGGTCTTGAACTCAACTAAAAATGCAGGTCTCACCAGCAAGCACAGAAAAGCAACCAGAAGAGAAAGAAGTAGAAACCCTCCAAAATAACAAAATCAAGAAGAGAGGAGAATTTTGTTTTGCCAACTTTTAGGCATACATTCATACCCGGTAATCCTCTCCAAGTTGACTAAAAAGTGTCATGGGCTTGAGGCCAAATATTTCACTGTGGAAATGCTTCCTGTCCTGATTTTTCCCCCTTCCCCCACTTGTTCTGGTACCCTGTCACCTCAAGGGAACCCTTGACATGAATGGCCTTGGGAAAAACTGCCATTCTCAATTAGGTATACCTCTGGCTGCCCAGTGTTTAGCAACAAACTCAAATATTATTCTTGGTCTACCAAAATTGCTCTGGGAATGTGACTATGAATAGTAATGTTTACTTTGAATCGTTGGTTTTTCAGTCTCCCCCCCCAAAAAAAGGTTTTGCTTTTTTTCAGGGCAAGCCAAATTCAGGAAAGACTGTCTCTGAGAATTACTTCAAATTTCTTCTGATGCTGTAAATGCCAATTAAGCATTGTACCCATTTGGAGTTGGATGGAGTTACTTTTGTTGTTAATGTATTTTGAGATTTTTGTGCATCTCAACAGCTTTGATAGACATGTACATAATTATACAGTGCATTGCTATTGGAGGCTGAGACTGAGTGGGAATGGAACATTTTGTAGAAAGAATTTGTTTTCACAAGTCTGAATTTCGCTAGGTGTGAAAGTATTTTTCTGCTTGTGTGAAAAGACACTAAAATATTTCCTTCTTGTGTGAAAAGGTGTAAAAATGGTTCCCCACCTTTTAAAAAAGGTATGAAATCGTTTTCTTCATCCTCGGCATGTTTAACATTTACTATGACCAAAATACTGTCGCAGTAAAATTAGATACAGCACATGTATGTTGCATTGAATACATTTTAAATATTTTAAAATAAAAAAGTAATATAAATGATATAAGCATATTTTTGGATAAAAAAATAAGAGCTATTGGCATGTAATTTGCATGCGTGAAAACACTTTGCAACTTTCTACCCCTT